GAGCTGTCTCCCTGTGCATAGGTAGCCCTTCTTTCTCAATGATTGTTCTCTCTAAGGAGTGTATCTATCTCAGGTAAATGTTCAACTCATATGCCTGTCTTCTGTTTGGCTGGAAACCACAGGTGTGGGTTCCATTCCAGACCTGAAGGGCAGCTAGGGGCCATAGTCTCAGTGGTTCCACCAGGCTCTATTGGACCAGCAAACCTGGCCCCTCCCCCACCTTTATTTTTTCTCCAAATGATTTTGAGTCTTGTTCCACATTGTTCTGCCTCTCTATCAAGGATCTCCTACATAGATCCCCTTCCAAGTGGATGACAGTGGTAGCCGGGCACCATCTAGTTCTTCTGGTCTCATAGTCGTATAGCCTGCAGATCGGATGGTGTACCAGTCACTAGAACTAATTGTTTCCATTAATTTTTGGTTTTCTTCATTCTTCTTTGCTCTGGACGAGGAGAGACCCATTGATGCATCTAGATGGCAGCTTGCAAGCTTTTAAGATCCCAGTCACTACTCGCCAAAGTAGGAGGTGGAACAATGTTTTATATATTGAGCTTGATGTCCCCTGCGACTATGGTCCCAAGCCTGCAGGTTCAACTACTTGGTCCCTCTGGGTAGCTGGCTGTGACCAAGCAATTTTTTTTTTTAAGTTTTAATTGATTTATTTATAATGGCTAGATGTTATAATGGCCAGTTAGTGACAGGAAATAGGCAAAATATGTCTATTCCATCTTCCCTAAGAGAGGAAATGCCATTCTACATTTTTAAAAGCTCCTCTAAATACATAGTCTCATTAAAATTTACCACAATGTCTCTTTACATTTAAGATTCTAAGCATATAGTTGGTTTATATAATCCAAAGGTTTGCATTCTTACAGCTAAATAATTTTTTCTCTGATTGCTTTTGATCCTATTTTCTCTTTCATTGCTCCTATTTTCATCTTTTAGAAGTATTACTGTTAGTACGTTTTAGTATGCTCTACTTTGTCTATCTTGTTTTGCTTATTTTCCACATTCTTGTCTTTTTGTTGTGTGTTCTATAAAATTTCCTCAAGTTTATATTTCAAGATTCAAACTTGGTCTTAATCAAGGTGATTTTTAAAACACTGATCATTATACATAAATTTTCCAATTTTCTCTGGGCATTTTGCATGAAATTCTTATGATTTAATAATTTTTATATCCCTTTGAATTACAATTTCTACTAAGTGGACTATTCTTTAAGTTACTTTTGTTTTGCAAAGGAGCTCCGGTGGTATAGTGGTTATGGCATTTGGCTGCTAACTATAAAAGGTCAGTGGTTTGAACCCACCAGCTGCTCTGTGGAAGAAAGTTGAGGTAGTCTGTTTCCATAAAGATTCATAGCCTTGGATACCCAACAGGGGTTACTATGAGTTGGAATTGACTTGATGGCAGTGAGTTTGATTTTGGGTTTTTTTGTTGTCAAAATTATGTGTACTTTTCCAAGATCAGTTGTCCTCTTCATTCATCATAATCTTACAAATCTGTGTTCTTGGCTCTTTAAATATTTGGTAATAATTGGCTATATTCATATTTGTAAATTCAAATCTAAGCCACAATTTTGGATTAATAATTTATTTAATTGGATAGGTAGTTTTGATTCTGTGGTTTTATTTTCCCAACAGTTTTCTCTTTCCACTGGATGAGCTGACCATAGGCTGAAGTGGGTACCCCAAACCAAACCAAACTCATTGGCATCAAGTCCATTCCAACATGGAGACTCTACAGGACAGGATAGAACTGCTTTATAAGGTTTCCTACACTGAAATCTTTATGGAAGGAGATTCCTACAACATTATGCCACAGAGTGGCTGGTCGATGCTAACAGCAGACCTTTCATTTAGCAACTGAGAGCTTAACCACAGCACCACCAGGGCCCCTTTGTAAGTGGGTAGGCAGTGTTGATTGGCAGGTTTCATTTTAGGGGTTATAAGTATGGTACCCTGGTGGCACAAAGGTTAGTGCTTTGCTGATAAATGAAAGGTCAATATTTTGAATTCACTAGTGGCTTCACAGAAGAAAAAAACCTGGTGGTCTGTTAGCATAAAAACCACAGTGTAGGAAACCCTATTGGGAAGTTCTACATTTCACATGGGGTCATTACAAGTTGGAGTAACTGGACAGACACAATAACAATACCAGTATGGAGCAGGTAGACAGACAGTACATATCTCCAATTGCAAAACAAAGGAGGGACTTTTCTCTAGGAGTACAAGATTTTTAGGTAGATACCTCTTGGGCAGGACTACTAGGTTTCAGAAGATGTCTATATGGATTGATTACATCAAGGGCAAAAGAGGTCCCACCCTCTCAGATGACTCTGTCCTGGGTATAACCATGCATAATCCCACCCAAGAATTATATCCACTCCATGAGAGGTAAAGAAAGATATCTTGAGCCAGTAATGTGCTGGAGCAGCTCTTGCTGGTCATGAGAGCAAATTGTGTACATCCCCTACCAACTCTGTAGTCAGTGACATCTCTTTGGTAACTTGAAATTGACCACGATAAGGTGTTTGGGTTATTTTTCTCACATACCTTTTCAGTTTCACAATTTTCAGCCCTTTCCAAAATTGTTTCTCACTCCAATGAAATGGACTTGAAACAAAAATCTGAGTTCACAAAAAATAAACTTTTCTTTCCTGCACACCTGAGTTTTGATTTGAGAGATATATCTGTGCTAACTTAATTCATACTGTTTATGACTTGTAAATGAGACTTTGGAAGGTAAAACTTTAGCTTGCAGTCTCTAAATGCAACATACCAAAGTTATTTGACCTTAGATATGCAAGGAGAAAAAACTGTTCTTTAAGTATAAATTTTGCATACTGCCCAGATTATCATAGTTGACATTTTAAATGACCATCTTACTATGAGATCAGTTCTCACACAGAATCTCTCTTCATTCATTCAACAAATATTTATTGAGTGCTTACATGACTGGTGGACAAGGAGACAGAAGACAATAAACAAATAAAGATAATGTCAGACAATTATAAAGTGTAATAAACATAACATGGGTGATATGAAAGACAGTGATAAGCAAAAGACAGCCATGCTGAAAATTCAGGGAAGATGTGTAAAGAAGAGACATATAAAAACACAGTCAGATTTTACTAATCAATATATATATAAAGTTGTAATATGACTTTCTGTGAAAATTGTTCTCTGTATCATAAAATAAAAATAGTAAAAATTGTCTTTGTTAAATATTCTATCCTTCAGCTTCCAAATGAAGCTTCGAATGTTCTCTATTAATGTCCTATGGCTACTCTAAAGGTTTTAAGTGTGTATTTTGGCCTAGTTATTGTATGGATTTTCTTAAAGCAGTTTTTAATGCATGTTAAATGTTAAATGATAAATATATTTTGTCTTGAACTGATTATCTTCAAACTGTAACTTTAAATTTTCTTTTTTATTTTCTGTAACTGAATTGTTTATTTTTGTATTTTTAATTATTTACAAGAAATTATACAATTATTAAAGATCACTTCAATCATTGGGTTCATACTTTATAATAAATTTATCCATCTATTTTCACAGTGTTCACTTACTCATATTATCAGAGTAGGTAAAAAGGTCCATACACATTTAAATACAAAACTGCCTTTTCTGACTTTCAGGTAGAGTATATGGACCCAGAATGGTTAAAATTTGTGTTCATGTCAGATATCTATATTTGTGGTGCTCCCAATAAAATATACACTAAAATTATAAAAATCCTTTGTACTTATGAGTTACAGAAAATGTTAGAATAACAAATTTAAAAGCAGAGCTTTCATCATTTCCATTTTGACCTATATGTACAAAAGCTTTGCAATACTATTATGCTAGTTAAGGTTGTATATCAACTTGGCTGGGCCTGGTTGAGTGGCTGGGCAGCTGGATGAAGTTATTCCCCATGGTGAGATTGGCAATCAATTGCATGGTCGTATCTACCAGAGCAGCTGGGTAGCTGCTTTAGGGATGTAGGCTGCTTCCAATATATAAGAAGCAGCTTTGAGGAACGTCTCTAGCTTTTTGGAATGCTGGAACCCTGCATGGAGCCAAGTCGTTGTTCAGCAGCCTGCCATGTTCTGCCGATCCTGGAACCTCTTCTGGACTTGAATTAGTGGCCTGCCATGTTGTTTGGTAACATTGGGACTGTGCCTTTTTACTTGTCAACCTTGGGTTTGTCAGCCTCAGCAGCCAGCAGCTGTCTGAGTGAAGAAAAGCCTCTAGCTTCAGTGAGCTGGGAGCAGGAGGTGGGGCTGAAACCCAAGGTTGAGGGGCTTTCATCCAGCCCCTAGAACCTGGCACATTGAACTTGGACTTAAAGCTTCCAAACTATAAGAAAATAAACTGTTCTTTAAAGCCATCTCATTTGTGGAATATTCCTGTCAGAGTGGCACTAGGTAACCAAGACAACTATCCTCTATGAAATTTTGGGGAAAAAAAGGCTGTTCTTGTTTAATTAACATCAATTATTAACATTAATTCACCAATAATTTCAAAGACAAATACTTAATTGACTTCCCAGTTTATTTAGAAATCTTTGCCCCTCAATTATTTTGGCATTTGTGAAAAAAAAAAAAAAATGAACCTTAGTACATGCAAAGAACCACCCAAGTAACCTAAAGCAGCACTTCCTTTCAAACGCACACACAATCTCCTAAAAAAAAAAAAACACACCAGTTGCTATTCAGTTGACCCTGATGTATGGTGACCCCATGTGTAAGAAAGCTGAACTGTACTCCATAGAATTTTTAATGGTTACTTTTTCAGAAGTAGATTGCCAGGCCTTTCTTCCAGTGTCTCTTGGTGAACTGGAATGTCTAACCTTTCATATAGTAGCTGAGGACATTAATTATTTGTTCCATCCAGGGACTCCACACACAGATTACTTCCTTGTAAATAGAGTTCTCAATTCCATTGGTAGAACATCTCCCAAATTACTCTCTGACAAAGAACAATTCTTTCCATTCAATACAGAGAAGAGCTCACCTGATCACAAACAAGGCTATTGTTTCTTGTGCCAACTTTGTCACAATCACAGGGTATGCAAATATCTATGGCTGAAGGATCTGCACCAACTTGTCGGAAAAAGTAATCCTTACACAGCTCACAGTTCCTTCCTGCATCAGGAAAAGGTTATGCATTATGACTTCCAATTCATTAAAATCAGCTGCATAATTCAAAATTAAAGACTGTATTCCTTTGAGAGAATTCTATAATTTTCGGGACGTCCATTTTAATGCACCTTTCATCTCTACCTGCCAATTTAGTGATCCAGAGCATATGAAACAATGAACCTGTTACAAACTGTGCTTTACTTCATTAAACTCCCATCTGTTATATAATACCACACTTCTAAAAAGCTGTGCTTTTAAGGACCCATACATTTTGAAAGAGTTTGTTTCTAAACTTAAAAGTTTTGTGTATTTCTAGGACAAGACACTTAATCTAAATCAAGCATGAGAAATTTCACTATGTATGGAAAGTGGTAGTTATGTAGTTGGAAGCAAGTAGGTATGTAGCCCTAGCAACAATTTTTTACTAGAAAGGAGATTGTCTTTAATACAATTTATTATCCCATAGTTAACATGATTAATACAAGTACCTTGCTAGTGCTTATGACCATTATTTTTCATTTCATATATGAAAATTTCATTATATTTAAATATGTCAAATGAATTTCATGTTAATTATTAGAATATATTGGCATATTTAGTATATTGGATAAACCCTATAGTTTACAATTTATAAATTAGAAATTATCCCATTCCATTTTATATAACAAAAAACGACAGTGAGTTTCTAAAGTGAATGTGGGTAGCACATAAGGCCATGGAAATAAGCTGAAATACAATTTAAGGCTCTCAATTACCCTTTAAACATTGTGAACTCTGCTCAAATATTGCTGAAATTGGCCCAATATTAGAAAACCACAGAAATAACTTAATCAAGTGAAAACTCACATTCTGATGAATATTGGCAATGGCCTAATTAAAAATTAAATGGATTTATAATATTTCTAGAACATTTTCTATTTACATATGCTGATGACTCCCAAATCTATATCTCAGTCTAGATTTATCTCCTTTATTTATTATTTAATGAATATTTATTGAGTGATTACCATGTTCCAAACACTATGCTAAATGCTGGGGAATACAGTAGTGAGCAAAATACACATTATACCTCTCTCACAGAGCTTTCTCACAGTCTAGCTGGTAAAATAAATCTTAATTACACGACAGGAATAAACACACATTTATAAACTGTGATAAACATAAGATGCCAAGAGAATATACAGACAATCCTGATCTTTTCTGAAGCATCACTAAAGGCTTTCCTTGAAGGAGACTTCAAACCTGTTACTTTTGAAAAGCTGATAGACAAGCAAATGACTGGTGGCAGAAAAAGGTGGTAGGAGGAAAGCAAGAGGCCAGATCCCACCTGGCTTTAGAGGCCATGAGAGCCATAATATAAAATTTGGCTTTGATCCTAAAGTGAATGAGATTCTACTTAAGTGGTTTCTATAGGAAATTGATATAGTCAGTTTTGGTTTTTTAAAAGATACATCAAGCTGTTGAGTGGAGAATGCCAAGAGTGGTTTGGGAAGATCAGAGAGTATTGTAATAGTCCAGTGAAAAATGATGCTCATGTATATTTAAGAAGGGTAGATAGAGGGGTGAGGCAGAGGATATATAAGATGGAAAATTAGCAGCTTACTGTGAGCAACTGGTTGTAGGATGTAAGAAAGGAAGGTAAAGGAAAGGCAGTCAAGACTGATGGCTAACATTCAGCTTGAACATGTTCTCTGTGCTTCCGTGACACGTTCTCTGTGTTTCATGGTCAAAATAGAACTTGGCTTTCTATTCTGCTAAGTCTGATCCTCCACTTGTGTTTCCATCTTTGAGACTGACTTATCTTGAAGGAAAATTCATTATTGTGTTCATCTTTATAACTCTGGTACTTAGGCATGCTCTGGTGACATTTTAGGTTATCAGTAACTATCTAATACAATCATTCATTCATGATACAGAGTAGACATTTTCAAATACATTAGTATTTAGCCATTATATTTCTCACATGCACATATTAACTATTTCTGCTCTTACAGTACTGACCTTTCCCAAAACAGCAACTTTCAATGACTAGACAAAAATACCTTATGATTTTAGAAAACTGTGCTTATCATCTTCTGCATTTAATTAGCTTTATTAAATACGAATAATCCCAGATTCCCAGTGTCTATGCAAAATTTGAATGAACACAAACATCTCCATATGAGACTAAGGATGTAATGGAAGAAAAAAGTGACACACAAAGAAACTTATTTTAAGGATAAATGCAATAAACTTAGCATTCCTGAGTTATCCAAAATATACTCACTGTTTAATTATGTAAAGCCTTAAGTTAAAAAAAAAAAAAAAAAAAAGCCTCTTCCTGAAATTATATAGTGTAAGACTATGCTTCTGGTTCTAAAAACTACCTAATGTTTTGAAATGTCAAAGATCTGGTCAACTGTCTTTGGTTTTCATACTTAGTAATATGAAAGCACTTTCTTAAATAAGATAGTCATAAAATAATGTAAAACAGAATTTATTGTGTATTTAGACACATATTGCCTCAAAGGCAACATCAACAACTTATTTGTTATTTACCTGTAGTGTTATGTGCACAGTCATCACAGACTCCACCCCCCCCTCTACGGTGCTCAGTCGGGAAAGGGTCCACTGAAATATCATAGTGGCAGCTTCTGGAATGGCTGTTGCATTGACAGGGTTTACAGTTGAAGGCTTGAACTTGATCGCCTTGGTGGAAAGGCTTGTCATTATAGAGAGGCAAACAGCGATCACACTAGAACAATTAAAAAAAAAATTAATACAAAGTTACAAATTTATTTTCTTTTTATTTGCACATCGGACACTTTCACTAGATTTAAGGATAATATCAATGCATGAGAAGCCAGCAATCCTCTCTCAAAAAAAATGTTCTACAAATCTCTGACATTTAATTTTAATTTTTACAGTTTCAATGTTTTTAAGTATCTCTGAGAGTTCCTTTAATTGAAGTTTTTCCTGGGGCTTCTCCTTGTTCATCACAGTCACTACCCACATTTAGACCAAGTCTTTCTTCAGTAATGTACTAAGGCTGCATACCTAGAGTCTTAAAGAGCAGCTCTGTGCTCAGCTATTTCTTCTATAATTCCATTTACATTCTAGTTGAATTTCACTTTCAGTACTCTTTTACTTTGCAGCATTTTCATCTTTAGTAGCTAATTTCCTTTTTTTGGAGTATGCATTTTTGTAAAAACGTACATGGGTTTATCATTGTGAGACAAGGAGAGAACACAACTACATGCTTTTCTGTCTGTGAATGAACTGCATGACAGATGTACAGTGACCAATCACCAACAGATTTTACACAAGTGACCTGTTAATCATTGATTAAGTGCACCTGTTACTTACAGAGTGCTTTGTAGACTGAAGAGCCAGTGACAAACACACAATTACTCACAGTTAATACAACTTGGTTACTGAAATTTGAGCCACATTGTTGGGGAACTGGTGTCATTAATAACTGAAAGAAGGCCTGGTAGGTTCGGAGCTTCCCAGCGGCTCTGCAGAAGAAAAGACCTGGCGATCTGCTCCCATCAAGTTTACAGCCTAGGAAATACCCTATGGGACAGTTCTACTCTCATATAGGTCACTATGAGTCAGAATTGATTTGATTGCACACAACACAGTATTTGCATGCTTATTGGAACCATGCAAAGAGAAGATTGCTTGTATAATTAAAGAAAAATTTACTTAAATCACATAACATGCATGTTTTGTACTGAGATGAGTCAACTAAAACTCACAGTATTTTTATACAAATATTTTTTAAAAACTAAATTAAGTAGAAATAAAAAGCACTGATTTGACTACTAACTGATAAAACAAAATATTTACATGAGATAATTTCTTTCAAACCATGAATATGTATACTTTATCAAATTGATAATCTATGTATTTATGTTTATGTTTGTGAGTGTGTGTGTGTATATACATATAT